CTGTATGCATTATTGGATTTATTTTATTTTAGCTTGTCGTTTAAAGTGAATGGCTGTTGTTTGATATCCCTGGTATGGTTGCGCTTGATGTGTATGTTGACAAGGTGTCTACCTGTCTATTGCCCACTACATCGTTCATACTGGCTCCAGGAGACAGTTGGTCGTTGCTGGAGGGGACGGGGTGCACGGTCCTAGTGGCCTTGCAAGGCTCAAGATCGGTTCCATGCAGTCAGTGTGGAGCGGACTACGGTCCAGTCACCGCCTTGTGTGCGCTTGATTCCCCAAATACAGCGTGCTTGTGTTTGCCTGTGAAGGAGTGTGGGCCGGCTCCGTTGATGAAACGTGGTTCCCATCCGCATGCCTCCCGGTCTTATTCCTTCGGGTTTACACTGGATATGGGGTGTGTGGTTGGAGCTGTGGGTGGTGCAGCGCAAGCCATCCATGGTCCCTCTGTAGGCGCAGGCGTCCTGTGGCTTGCCACAGTGACAGGCAAATCCGAAACCGGATGCCGCCAACCATGTATGTATGTGTGCCCCATGCTAAGGCTGATGTTGCATTCTTGATGCTTCTTCACCGCAGTTGGGCTAAACCAACTTACACTTAAACTAGGTCTTTTTAAGCTGGATAAATTTCATTCCGCTTTATTTGGTTTGTTCTGCCTCCCTGAATAATGTTCTATTAACTGGCCACGTTGCTTACACTAATTGCGCTTATCTTCGGTAATTTGGTTGCGTTTGTAGCATTTTAAGTAACTTGTGGACATTCCTTACTTATCACGGATTTGTTGCTAACCAAATTACTTCATATGGTAATTTAGGGAAGAGTTATGCCACCGTATCTGTATGCATTATTGGATTTATTTTATTTCAGCGTGTCGTTTAAAGTGAATGGCTGTTGTTTGATATCCCTGGTATGGTTGCGCTTGATGTGTATGTTGACAAGGTGTCTACCTGTCTATTACCCACTACATCGTTCATACTGGCTCCAGGAGACAGTTGGTCGTTGCTGGAGGGGACGGGGTGCACGGTCCTTGTGGCCGTGCTAGGCTCAAAGAGCGGTTCCATGCACTCAGTGTGGAGCGGACTACGGTCCAGCCACCGCCTTGTGTGCGCTTGATTCCCCCAATACAGCGTGCTTGTGTGTGCCTGTGAAGGAGTGTGGGCCGGCTCCGTTGATGAAACGTGGTTCCCATCCGCATGCCTCCCGGTCTTATTCCTTCGGGTTTACACTGGATATGGGGTGTGTGGTTGGAGCTGTGGGTGGTGCAGCGCAAGCCATCCGTGGTCCCTCTGTAGGCGCAGGCGTCCTGTGGCTTGCCACAGTGACAGGCAAATCCGGAACCGGATGCCGCCAACCAATCTCAACAGTCTAATGAGAGAACCGAAAACCCACCACCTGAAATAAAGAGACTTAGCATGCAAGCAGGCGGTTAGTTAATGGAATTCAGCGTGCCTACAAACGCTGCGCCGGTGCTGCCTACGTTCACTGTGGGACCCGTCATCGCTTCGGCAGTGGTCCCGAGTGACCTCTCTCATGGCTCACTAGGCCTGCCTGACTAAGGCACTCGCGACCGCATGTTCTACAGCACAATGCGCTCGATGTCGATGGAGTACAATTCATCGGTGCTTGCCGCTTCCGCAACTGCCGCTTCTTCTCTGCATGCATGAGGGCTTTCTCCCGCACCTCAGCAACTGCCTTCGTGATTAGATCGCGCCATGCACCACGATCAACCGCCTTCGATTCCCATGATCTGCAATCAAGATTAGAACGTGTGAGGCTCACTTTAATCATGTCCTGGTAACGTAACTTTGGTTTCCCAGCATGCCGCTTCCCTATACTCAGCTGACCGTATAAGAGTTATTTCGGTATTCGCGTCGAATCCATACGGCTCACATGACCGAGCCATCTCAGGTGTCGCAGTAAAAGTATGCCGTCCACTGCATACATCCCACTTCGGCGCAACACTTCCGTGTCTGCAACACGGGCGCCCTAGCCGATCCGCAAAATTCGTCGCACACACTGCTGATGGAACCGCTCGAGATATCGCATATCCCGCCGGTACATCGTCCACGTTTCACTGCCGTATAGAAGAACGGACAGTACCATGGATTTGTACACCATCAGCTTCGTACCAATGCTAAGCTGATGGTTGTTCCACACTCGGTACTCTAGCTTCCCGAATGCCGCTGCCGCCTTCGACACGCGATTACGCAACTCAACGTGTAGTTGCTGATCAGTCGACATCACACTCCCAAGGTAGCTGAAGCGGGAGGTGGTTTCCAATACTTCAGCACCAATGCTGATTTGCGGCAATATTGAAGATTGCACCTCCGGTGAAGGCTGAAAGTGACAGACAGTTTTGCTTGTGTTGATGGTGAGCCCGAATTTGGCCGCTGTCGAAGCCAGAGCACTAGTCATGTGCTGCAACTCATCCGCGCTGTGTGAAAACAACGCACAGTCGTCAGCAAACAGCAACATACGGATAGTTGTCTCACAGACTAGAGTTCTCGCACCGAAACGACGGATGTTCAGCAACCCACCATCAATACGGTGCTCCACACGAACACCGTAAGCACAAGCCGCATCAAAAGCACAAGACAACATTGCATGAAGATATATATTAAACAGGGCAGGAGCTAAGACACAGTCTTGCTTCACACCAGAGACAACTGTAAAGTCATCAGAGGTCTCTCCACTCAGCTGCACCCTCGCTCGCATACCACTGTGCAGACATTCAATTAAACTTACAAACTTACGCGGGCAACCAAACTTACCCAACACCAGCCACAGTGCCTCGCGGTTCACCGTATCAAATGCCTTGGTGAAATCAACAAAAAGCGAGTACAATGGCTGGTGTCGTTCTCTACACTTCTCTTGCAACTGACGAGCCGCAAACACCATAACTATAGTGCTGCGACCCGAACGGAATCCACATTGCTCTTCCGCCACGTTTGGTTCCACAATCTGACTCACGAGGCGATTGAGCAGGATTCGGGCAATCACCTTGCCCACACAACTCAGCAAGTTGATGCCACGATAATTCGTGCAACATTGCTTGCTACCTTTGCCCTTGTACAGTGGTAGCACAAGGGCATTCCTTCTCATATAAATGTCTAGTGGGCCATGCGCTGTGCCATTTGGGGCCACTACAGAAGCGACGACGGGTCCCGCAGTGAATTACGACGAGCCGGCGCAGCGTTTGTAGGCACGCTGAATTCGATTTACTAACCGCGTGCTTGCATGCTAAGTCTCTTTATTTCAGGTGGTGGGTTTACAGTTTTTACCTTACTGCTTTTCTTTCTCATATAAATATCTCCCTGTACTCTATTCCATTAACTTGCACACATCGCTTCAGCCAATTGTATTCGATTTCCATAATATTTTTGTGTTCGTGGCATTCCGTGAAATATAATTTCTGACCTCGTGCACTCAGCTATCATCTGTTTGAAAACAACTTATTACGTATGCTATTTACTTAAGGTTTATGTCACCGTTTCCTTATGCATTAAACGAGTTTTTCTCTTTTTCTTTCTCTCTCTCTCTCTCTCTCAAGTGTTTGGCTGTTGTTTGATATCCCTGGTATGGTTGCGCTTGATGTGCATGTTGACAAGGTGTCTACCTGTCTATTACCCACTACCTCGTCCATACTGGCTCCAGGAGACAGTTGGTCGTTGCTGGAGAGGACGGGATGCACGGTCCTTGTGGCCGTGTTAGGCTCGAAGAGTGGTTCCATGCACTCAGTGTGGAGCGGACTACAGTCCAGCCACCGCCTTGTGTGCGCTTGATTCCCCAAATACAGTGTGCTTGTGTTTGCCTGTGAAGGAGTGTGGGCCGGCTCCGTTGATGAAACGTGGTTCCCATCCGCATGCCTCCCGGTCTTATTCCTTCGGGTTTACACTGGATATGGGGTGTGTGGTTGGAGCTGTGGGTGGTGCAGCGCAAGCCATCCATGGTCCCTCTGTAGGCGCAGGCATCCTGTGGCTTGCCACAGTGACAGGCAAATCCGAAACCGGATGCCGCCAACCATGTATGTATGTGTGCCCCATGCTGAGGCTGATGTTGCATTCTTGATGCTTCTTCACCGCAGTTGGGCTAAACCAACTTACACTTAAACTAGGTCTTTTTAAGCTGGATAAATTTCATTCCGCTTTATTTGGTTTGTTCTGCCTCCCTGAATAATGTTCTATTAACTGGCCACGTTGCTTACACTAATTGCGCTTATCTTCGGTAATTTGGTTGCGTTTGTAGCATTTTAAGTAACTTGTGGACATTTCTTACTTATCACGGATTTGTTGCTAACCAACTTACTTCATATGGCAATTTAGCGAAGAGTTACGCCACCGTATCTGTATGCATTATTGGATTTATTTTATTTCAGCGTGTCGTTTAAAGTGAATGGCTGTTGTTTGATATCCCTGGTATGGTTGCGCTTGATGTGTATGTTGACAAGGTGTCTACCTGTCTATTACCCACTACATCGTTCATACTGGCTCCAGGAGACAGTTGGTCGTTGCTGGAGGGGACGGGGTGCACGGTTCCTGTGGCCGTGCTAGGCTCAAAGAGCGGTTCCATGCAGTCAGTGTGGAGCGGACTACGGTCCAGCCACCGCCTTGTGTGCGCTTGATTCCCCGAAATACAGCGTGCTTGTGTTTGCCTGTGAAGGAGTGTGGGCCGGCTCCGTTGATGAAACGTGGTTCCCATCCGCATGCCTCCCGGTCTTATTCCTTCGGGTTTACACTGGATATGGGGTGTGTGGTTGGAGCTGTGGGTGGTGCAGCGCAAGCCATCCGTGGTCCCTCTGTAGGCGCAGGCGTCCTGTGGCTTGCCACAGTGACAGGCAAATCCGGAACCGGATGCCGCCAACCAATCTCAACAGTCTAGTAACTAGACATAGAGCCAAAAAAGCCATGGAAATCAGTGTATAAGAGACAGTCATCGCGTCATAATCGTCGTGGCATGCTAGCTGAAGGTGGGCAACACACTTCAGTTAATATGCCGCAAGAAAATGGAATATTTTGACAAAAATACAGAACAAAACATTTTTAGTTTGTTTGTCACACGCCGATTTTTCTCTTTTTTTGTCATTTTCAATGTTTGTAGAATTAAACATGTGAATCAACACAACACTGTACACAATTCTTCCATTGATTCCGGTTGCGGGCCATGTCTTCAAGTGTCCTAAGCCATTGGCACTCCTCATCTTTGGGTCCCCATCCTGGAAGACGTACGGGTCCAACAGCGGCTAGACACGACGTCAGCGATTTCATGTGCTGCCGCCAAGTGGAAGGCTGACCACCACGCGGTCGCTTCCAGCCAGGTCCTTGACGAGCGAATAGAGCGCGACGCGGTAGACGCTCAGGTGCCATGCGTAGGACATGACCGAGCCATCTTAACTGGCGCAACAAAACCAGTTTGTTGAAGGAAATACTTGCATTCCCCAAGACGCGACGTCGAACGTCAATATTATTAACTCGATGTTGCCACCGAACACGAGCGATCCTCCTTAAGCAACCGTTATCGAACGCAGAAAGACGACGCATGTCTTCCACGCGAATCGGCCAGGACTCGCTCCCATACAACAATACTGAGCGAACGGACGCGCTGTAAACTCGGCCCTTTAGTGAGAATGAGACGTCGCGACGACGCCACAAGTGCCTCAGATTGACAAATGCTGATCGAGCTTTAGCGATGCGAAGTGAAACTTCTTTGTTGATTGTGCCGTCAGCGGAAACACAGCTCCCAAGGTAGACGAAACTATCTACCTGTTCAAGTTGTGCACCTTGGAGAGTGAGCACGGGTGTAGGTGAAAGCCAATCCTTGAGCAGTACTTTACACTTCGATGGGGCGAAGCTCATGCCATACTTAGATGCTTCAACCGCCAAACGATCCAGAATGAGTTGCATACACTGAGGATCGTCACCAAGTAAGGCGATATCATAAGCATAATCTAAGTCGGTCGCGCGCTCACCCGGTAGAAGCTCTAGGCCAAAATGTTGGAAACCTAGGGCATTCGACAGAACGTCTTCGATTGCGAAGTTGAAGAGGAATGGGGATATAGGGCAGCCCTGTCGCACACCGCTATTGACAGCGAATTGTGAGGAAAGCTTGCCATAGACCCTCACTCTGCCGGATGTGTGAAGGTAAAGTGCTCGTAAGATGGCGATATATTTCTCTGGCACCCCGTTCTTTAGTAAGCAACGCCATAAAGCAGGTCGATCAACGGAGTCAAAAGCGGCACGTATGTCTAGAAATGTAACGATAGTGGGCCTGTGATAAATGTGGCGATGTTCAAGGAGTTGGCGGAGCGTGAAGATTTGATCCACGCATCCGCGGCCAGGACGGAAACCAGCTTGTTCTTCACGGTAGTACGATTCACGTACTGGGGATAGTCTACGAAGTAGAATGGATGCCAACAGCTTAGAGGCAACCGAAATAAGACTAATCCCGCGATGATTTGCACATGAAGTGCGAGCGCCTTTCTTGAAAATTGGGACAATAACTGATTCGCCCCAAGAGGGAGGCACTTTCTCTTCATGCCAAATGTTTGCGAACAGCGCGGTTAGCTGGTTAATGATTGCCATACCGCCATACTTGAATAGCTCCGGAGGAAGTCCGTCTAAGCCGGCAGCCTTGAAGCGCTTCAAGCGTCGAATCTCGAGGCAGACTTCTGCTTCGCTGGGTGGATTCAATGGGACTAGCCAAGGTGGACAGCAAGGTGTACTGCATGTACTGATGGATGGTGGAGGCCAGTTGAACTGCGAGTGAAAGTGCTCGGCCCAGCGGTCCATACGCCTCTGTTGGTTGGTGATCGGAGACTCATCCAGCTCACAAATGACCTCACTGACACCAGGCTTCCTGAGGCCAGTGGACCGAATGAGTTGGAAAAGCCTGCGAGTGTTACCAGAGAGGGCAGCAGTCTCCATTTCTAAAGCACGCTCAGACCACCATGTCTCGCGATCCTTGCGGAGGCTTTGCTTAAGCAGCCGGTTGGTAGAACGGCGCTGCTCGTTACAATCTGATTCCGCGGAGATATCTTTGCGGCGTTCGAAGAGCTCCAGAGAACGAGCAGAGATCCAAGACTTCAAAGGGCGTCGAGTTAGACCGCAGCATGACTGTCCGGAAATGGTCAGCGCTTTCCGTATACAGGTCCAGTGTTGTTCCACTTCTCGCGGTGGATTGCAACTGAGTGCATATGCCAGTGAAGACTGATAGCTCTCCTGGACAGAGGAATCAGTTAATCTGTTTACATCAATCTTGCGGTGCTTCGTGTTTCGGGATCCTCCAAAACACATACAGATTTTCGCGCAGACCAGAGCATGATCTGAATCAACGAAAGTGGACCAAAAGGACCTGCAGTTTAGTACCCTGCCGCGCCATCTGAAGCTAATCGCAATGTGATCAATTTGAGACCACGGTTGTGTTGAAGAAGGGGGACGCCAAGTTGCGGAACGCTTCTTCGTACGCCTGAAGCTTGTGCTCGAGAGAAACAGACGGTTGTCCTCGCACAATGTGAGAAGTCTCTCTCCGTTATCAGAGCGGTTCTCATCGAGCGCGTGATGACCACCAAGGTGGTGTTCGTATGGTAACAGGCGGCCAACCCGTGCATTAAAATCCCCAGCAAGGATAACGACATCCGACTTTTTAGCATTAGTCAAGAGCTGTTGTAGATCTCGGTAGAAATCGTCCTTGACCGAGTCGCTACTGCAGTCAGTTGGAGCGTACACAGAGATCACAAACAAGTTGCGTCTCTCTTCGCGTTGCCTGTTGATTCTACATGAACCCCGAAGCCGAACTGCACATAGTCGGCTGTTAATCGGGAACCAGTCCAGTAGTGCCGTCTCGGCCTTGCCACTCAATGCTATACCTACACCAGCCAAACCCGCTGAGCTTGCTTCTGGATCTCCAGAAAGACGCAGGTGATATCTGGCTTCGTGGTCAGTGGGGGATGTCAATGTAAGCACAGTGCTGGGATCTTGCAATCGGGTTTCTGAAAGGCAGCAGACATCAATGTCTAGGGAATCTAGGGTGCGCGCTAGACCGGCTTGCTGTCCAATCTGCATGAGCGTCCGGACGTTGAAGCACGCCAGACGGAACGAGGATCGGGGACGAAGGAGAGCCATAGGTTGAATTCCTTGATCTGCGGAGCAACGGGAATCGCAGCCAGATTGTTGAACAAATGAATCGGGTAACCGAAAGTGAGGATTGTTAGCAAACAAACAATTGGCGTGTGATGGAGTAGCGTGAAAGTGAGTAGCAGGAACAGTAGCTGATGAGCGCGTTGTAGTACAGTCCATGGTTTTGTGAGAGGGCGTGATACTACCCGGTTGCCCAAGCCGAAGTAGGGAGTTGACTTAGGGGACTCCACCCCGAGCCTTTGGCTAAATAACCTACCCGCAAGGCAGCGGGGCAGCGGTTATATGATAATGAACAAGCGACTCTTGCTATCGTGAGCAAATTATCGCTCACTCAACTAGCTGAGTTACCTGCTGGAGTCATCGAAAGTAAACAGCCGTAAGCTTACCTAATCAGTGTAAAGGCAGTCGATTCTCAGTGAACTTGCAGCACTGGCTTTCAGTCAACTATGGAAGTCCTACATGCACAAGTCGCGACACTTAATTGCCAAGTATAAAAGGTTGATACGAGCCGTCGCCGTTAACGCCGATTACAAACATAAACAAGGCACTTCAAGTTCAAGAATAGGCAATCTTACTGTTTATATTACCATCCTATCCAAAAAGCGTCCCAAAATTGCGTTATACCTCGTAACTTCGCCGAGAAGCACGAGCACACTTCGTCCGACTCATAATGACGACGGACACGACCGGCCAAAATCAAACTCGCCTTAACTGCGTTAGTAAGCTAACATCTGGTACCGTGTTCCTACAACACACCGAAGCTGAAATTAGGTGGATAGCCCGTAGCTCAGGCTGGGTCCTCTCAGTCTTGCCAATGGCACACCAATTCCAACTTTTGGCCAAAAAGCTGTCAACGCACAACTCAGGCCTCCGGCGAACTTTTCGCTGGGCTTTCATAGTGGCAGCCGTAAGTTTTGTCTTCGTAGGCAGAGCATGGCTTTAACATTTTAACTTAACCATCGCTTTTAAAAGCAGTGGCTTATCGACTCTCGGTGACAACTCAGCGTTATCAGGACTGGCGCCAATCTTTTACTGAGCACTCGCCTTCGTGTCCTGAATAGCCTATTATGGACCTGTAAAACAAGCTTCCTACGCTCCTTCATATTCAAAGCGACATATTCCCAGTGATGTTAAGCAGCATGCACACTATCTGCATTATTGGTTTACCCCTTCCCCGCCTTCCCCGCATTTGCTGACTAGCTCCGGACAAGCTCAGATGCCGAGGCGGAATTCAGGTAGATAATCGAACTTGGAATAGCCCGCCCGTTTAATATTCCATGTACCTTATCAATACACATGGTACCAAAGTAATCCCGTGCCTGGCGTCACTGTGGTGACTACAAGGCACACAAAAACTTCCCCTCCCAGATAAGCACCCATTCCACAAACGCACATGTCAATTGGTCAGACTGAGAGGCAGTTATCTGTAAGGGTTATGGTGCATGTTCCAAGACAACTAGCGAGGAGTGGCCCTAAGCTCCTTGTCAGCTCCATCGATTTCATCTATTCGATTGTAATGCATGTCAAGGCCCATAGAACTCGTTCATCTATGAGTTAGATTCAGTTTTAGCTGGTAATTCGATTTTTCATAAATCGACCTAGTTGGCACCAAACGAGGTATCTAAAACTGCGGTCATCATACTGGTCCGTCTAAGCGAGAACCGCGGAATGCCTTGCGGTCTCAGCAAGGCTGCTCACAACTTTTAGCGTTTTATTAAAGGGTTAACACTAGTACTCGAAGGCTTAAATCCTTACCTAGGTTTTATCTACTTCTCCAGATCTTCTAATGAAGTATATCTCCGTCAGCTTAACGTTCTTTTTACAAGGCTGACGCAGTATGGGGTGAAAGCCAAACCTAATAAATATGATCAGAGCAAGAACACCGCTGACTTTGTTTCAAGATATCCTGCTTTGGTATTGTAGCTGTACAAGCCAAAATCCAGACACTGATGGAATATGGCATCTAGATCCCTCAAACCACTTCACCAATCCTCCGGCCTGGTCAACTGTAACCGACGCTTCATGTTTAGTTGCGCGATGCTTATTATACCAAACACTGATTTGCTTCGCCGTAAGAAACGCTATTTTCTGTGCTTAGACGATGCCACACTGGCGTGTAAGAAGCTTAGTGTTATTCCTAACATACATATTCTTTTCAACCCTGAACCAACTGCGTTACTTGCTCTTAAGACTGACGCATCAAACATCGCTCTGGATGCAATGCTACAACAACACTTCGGCCATCAATAGATAACTTTCGGTTTCTTCTCTAAACACCTTCAACCTACAGCATTGTCTTAAAGTAGCTTAGACAGGGATTAGTTTGCTGTCTACCTAGGTAACACACATACTAGTCACTATGTCCAATTTCGACACTTTACAGTCTTTACTGGTCACAAGCCACTGATTTACACAATCAATTGCGGACCAGCTAACCTATCTCCGAGCGAAACTAGACATCTAGACTACGTCTGTCATAGCATGACAAAAGTACGACATGCGTCGGACGTTCTTAATCCGGGAAACGGTAGCAATGTATCCGATATGGCTGCAATTAATCATCTTGCTTCTGAAACACATAAGCTT